GTACAGGTGACCCGGAAGAACTTTTACCATTGATAATAACCTTCTGTTTTCTATTACTTAAATATGAAATAATAAGTTTAAGCGCTGTGTTCTTGACACCATAGTACTGTAGCTTCCTGATTAATTTCTCATGGTGAACACAGTCGAAGGCCTTGGAAAGGTCACAAAATATACCCAAAGCATCCTCTGAATTCTCCCATGCACAAAAAATATGTTTAATAAGCTCAACTCCAGCGTCAGTTGTCGAGCGACCCCTTGTAAAACCGAATTGATTATTATGTAGCAATTTATTAATAGTAAAGAAACTTAACATCTGATCTAAAATAATTTTTTCAAAAATTTTACTTAATGTTGGTAGTACAGAAATTGGTCTAAAATTGGCGGGGTCTAATGTACTACCAGATTTAAATATAGGTATGACTTTACTATGTTTCATTAAATCAGGAAACACACCAGATTCGACGCTTATATTAAATATAGTGGCTAGATAAGGTGCTAATGTATCTATTATAGATAAAATAACTTTAACGGAAATCCCCCATAAGTCTGCCGTTTTCTTAACATCAATAGTTTTAAAATATTTAACGATATCTTTTGGCAGTACCCTATGGAATTTAAAAGTATTTGAACAAGCCTTTACATTTTGTTTGAGCAATGATTCGGCGACAGTAGGAGAAGAATTTAATGATTTTGTTGTCAAAAAAGGAACATCAGTAAAATGTTTCTCAAAAGCCATAGCAACTTCTTGATCAGATCGCGTTAAATTATTGTTAATATTCAATTGAAAATCCGAGTTGCGCGGTTTGCCCGTTTCACTATTTATTATTCTCCAGGTCATTTTAATTTTGTCGGATGCAGTTTTAATTTTGTTGCTTAAATGTAAAGCCTTAGCAGTGGAGCACACTTTTTTAAATATTTTAGAATATGTTTTTACATAATCTCTAAATATAACACTACTATTATATGATCTTTCATCATAAAGCTCGTATAACCTTCGCCTACTTTTATAAATTCCTACTGTCGCCCATTCATTAAATGATTTGCGACTGTTAAAAGAGAAAGTTTTAGAAGTAAATATTCTACTAAATTCACAACGTATAATTTCAAATAATGTAGCATACAAATAATTAGCACTATTTTTAAACGAAACTAATGGAAGTCTTTTTATTATATTACTTCTAAACCTCTCCAAGCGATGTTCATTTATTGGAACAAACACAAATTTCTTATTTTTCTGTTTTTTGTGTATGTAAGGTAGTGATACTAACTGTCCACAGTGATCTGAACTTAAATTTTGAATAATTGATTTATGCAAGGGCTTAACATGTGTAAAAATGTTATCTATACAGGTCGCACTAGGCCCAGCAATACGTGTTGGTTCTAAGAATAAATTTACAAGATTATATGATTTAAACAATGAGCTAAACTTAATACTAATGGAAGAAGTTTCAAGGAGATTGATATTAAAGTCTCCACACATTACAACAGACTTGTTCTGTTTACTCAGTTTGAGTAAAACTTCTTCCACAATCCTTTCAAAATGGTCATAAGTAGCACATGGGGGTCTGTAAACACTTACAACAATGAGGTGCTCGAGCTCGACACAAGCCATTTCTACAGTTCGTTCAACAGAGAGGCTCACCATATCCTTACGTTCTTTATATAATAATGATTTATCTGCTAATATTAAGGAGCCACCACGTAAACTTTTTTCTCTATTGAAGGAACTGACCACCTGGTGATTTCTGAAATTAAACATGAAATTATAATCTTTTAGCCAATGTTCAGTAATACAAAGGATGTGTATATTGTTACTATTTAAAAACAATTCAACTTCCAATTCTTTGCCCAACATGCCTTGTATATTTTGATGCACCAGGTGTAAACAATTTTTATTACTTATTTGTGGGCTGTATTCAAAATTAATTAAACTCTTATTATTGCTAGAGATTGCCTCTATTGTCACATTCACTAATTTAAATTAGTTGGAACTGATTCCAAATTAAATGTCAAATGATTATGCTCAATAAAAGCAGTTTTGGTAGCCAAAAACTTGGCTGAGTTAAAAAGTAAATAATAAGATAGCACATTTGCTATCAGTCTTAAATTATATTTGGATAGGTAATACCTATCTTTTGTCCAAAACTTTTTATTAAATTATTTATGTCAATTACATGAAATTTATGATTATTATCATTAGAATTATATGTCAAATTTAAATTATTATTACATATTAAATTATGTTCTTGTGGCAGTCTTAAATTATTTTCTTGTGGCAATCCCTATATATAAGGCAGTGTGAACAAGACAATTTTGTGTACATTTAAGTTATTAAGTTGTTCAATATATCTTAATAACTGTTTGTTGTTGACACTGCCTCTTCTACCAACAAAAATTATTATTGTACTATTTGGGCAAAATTTAGTAACAATAATTTTATTTAGGATGTCACTAAAAGATGCTCCAGGCATGCAGCAATTTGTAACTTTTTGTCCCTTTAAAGAGTTATTTAAAGTTATGCCTAGATTTTTTCCCATGTCATCGCTATAAACAATTATATTATTTTTAGTAATATTTGAGTTATTTATTATTTTAATATCCTCTGCTATGGCACTGTCATAGAGTTTTTGTGGTGGTATAATATTATCAGCACACACTGACTTTGAAGAATCTGGCATTGAGCGCTGACACTCACATTGATATTTAACTAAGGAGTCAAACCGCTCCTCATTATATTTACAAGTCTTTACCAGATTATCCATAGCCAATATGTGTTCTTTTATTTCATTTTGGGCTGATTTATATTTATTGGACACAGTTTGAAGGGAGTTCATAAGTGACAATATTTCTGATTTAAGGCACTCTATTTCAGTCTCATAACATTTTTTTATCTTATCCACCTCAGTTGAATACAACTTAAGTTCATATAACAATGCTTGCTTTTCTTTACATACATTAACATAATTTTTGGTATTAATCTTATTTCTTATTCATTTTTGTATTTTCCTTATGTATTTATTAACTTTTATATACTTCTTCAATTTGGTTTTACTGCAATTAATCCTTACTGTATTTCCTGAAGTGGAAGAGTCGTCACCAGTCAAGTCTATTGTTGCAGATTGCTGTAACATTCTTGAAGTATCACATTGCACAAGCTCAGAGAACAGGCTTTGAGTCTGGGAGGCTTTAAGGTTATCTATATATGTTTTAAATTGTGTTATTTGCTCATTAGCCTCATTCAACTGTAACTTCAATGCAGCAATTAACCTGAGAGCTTCCTCATATTCCTTGCTGCATTGATCAAACTCATTAACCGTTCCCTGTAGCTGATCTCTTTCTTTTATAACACTTGTGTATTCTGTATGTAGCTTAACCATATCACATTTCAATTGTGTATTTTTGGCAATTATGCTAACTATTTCCCTTTCATTATCATCCCTTTCCTTAAGCAACAGTTCACACTGCTCCCTGGACGCCTTAAGTTCTTGGAGCGCAAGCTGGAGTTGGTTCTCCATCTGGCGCGTCTTGGCGTTGCGAGTATTCATTTTACTATTTATTATAAATAATAAAAGAAAACAAAGATCGAAAACAGAAGGAGCAGAGTAAGCTAATGTAAAGTTGTTGTTTTTTTTTTTCTATTTACAAGTCTCAAATCAAATTATCGTTAAAACAATTCGAAAAGAAACCCGCAAAGAATGTAATAACCCGAGTAATAGAATAAATCTTTAATTTATAAAAGGAATGATATGAAATAAGGATTACAATAATTTTTAAAACAATGTTCGTTACCTGTCACTTTTTGTTCCAACACCAAATTGTTGTTATAATATTTATGTACCAACTTTCTTAAACATTAAATACAAAGCGGCAGTAATTATTAGCTATAACATAAAATTGAGGTGGATATGGTGAATTTGCAATATTTAAATTCAAAGGGAAGATCTCCCGCCGGGCAAGGTGTTCAGCCCGGGGAGCAGCCAACGCTACGTGTGTTATTTCGGAGCAGTTCTATATATAGCGCATTAACTTCAGAATTTTGATAGCGCGATTTAGGCTTCAGTGCGTTTCGCTTACGGCGAAACGACAGTGCCGCTACTAATAGTACACTGCTTGGCGTGAGCCTCACTTTGCCAACGCCGCGCTTGGCAATCAGATTGGCAACCGCAGTATTGTATGCTCTCATCTTTAACGCTGCTTCTGAGATGTTTATACCTCCATCAATTGGAAATCATGATATTTTTCTGATATTTCCCATAGTCGTCTGTCTCTTACAACGCCCACGTGATGAAATAGGATAGAGGATATTGCTACACCGTACCGCATGCCACTTTATAGATCATCATCATCAGGTTGCAGCTATTCATTGCTGGACTTACGCTTCTCACAAGGAGCGCCACCTATCCTGATCTTCAACTCTACGTGGTAGAGCCAGGCTGCAGCTACACTATGGTTGTAACACGAATGGGCTGGCTCGACCGGAGTAGGACCACTCTCTTACAGATTACCAGCGTAAAATAGCAGCTTAATGCTGCTGTGTTTCAGTATGGTGAGTGTAGAGAACCGAAGACCCTTCTTACTGGAAACAAGGCATTCCATTTCAGTCCTCAGGGGTGACAACGCATCTGTATTTTGATGCTTAATTGAGGATAATTGTAGATGTCTATGGGCCACAGAATCTACTTACCAATAGGTGGACCATGTTTGTCACCCTTACCCTATAAAAAAAAACGCTTCACGCATCCAGTTGCTGCCAGCCACCTTGTGCAGATCGTCGCTCCATCTAGCCAGACGTCTCACATTGCGTTTGCTTAAGCGCGTTTACATCGTCAATAACTTTGCACGATTAAAAAAAATCTCATTTTGGCACACTCTTTATTTTACATAAACTTAACATGAGTTAAAAAAAAGACAAAGAGTTCCCAAACATTTCAAATACTCTTAAATCCAAGACTATTACTTGGTATACTATACGTAAACATTATGTCTCCGTTTATTTCCAGTTCTCGCAATACCAGTGCTCCCGCTCACTTTCTCGTACTATATCCCATTCCTCAAAATCCACTTAAACTCCTGGCGACTCTTGAACCTTCTTTATAGTCTTCCGTGTGCGCTGGGTGCCATTGGAATCTCATGTGCGTACGAAAGCCCGAAGTATCTACTCAGCGTTGGACAGGAAGAGGAGGCTTTGAAAGTTCTGAAGAGAATTCACTTTATTAATAAAGGAAAAACGTCCGAATTTGAGGTATGTGAAAATATTTTTTTATATCATACTAGCGATTCGCCCCGGTTTTGCTCGGGTGATTTCTAGATCTCAACAGCAGCATAACTTACCGGGTCCAATTGTGAATCTAAACCATCCAAGGACCTACTCAAAACACACACAAAAGTCTTTCCCCATAGACGCCTCTTGCGAAACCCACGGGACGAAATGAGGCGATCAATTGGTTAACGCCGCCACCTCGTTTACGTACCGTTATCGTTACAGCCTATAAAATACCACTGCTGAGTATAGGCCTCCTCCATAGATTGCCCCATAGGGAGGATATTTCCCCATAGTTGGAATGTTACTGTTGATTTGAAAATTTCACCTCTCAGTGGATCATGTGCTCCTGGTATATTATCTTCTATACATCCATCTATTACAGCCTATTAAAGTCCACTGCTGAACATAGGCCTCTCTCATAGATTGCCTCATAGGTAGGATATTTGCCATAGTTGTAATGTCTGTTGATTTGAAAATTTCAGCTCTCAGTGGGTCATGTGCTCCTGGTATATTATCTTCTGTTGTAGTGTTATGCTACTTACATATCATTTTACATTATTTTAAATTCATTTTTCCATTCTGTTTCGATTTTCTGCATTCACCTCAAAACTGGATAATTTACATCACCTTTACTTCCATAGGATCCTGTAACGATTTTAAACCATAAGAACACAATAACAAATCATTTTCACTTCGTATTTTGACACTATCAGCACTTTTAAATTGGTGTCAATGGAGTACCTGTTTCGATCTTTTATTTAGTTTTCCGTAACTATGCAATTTCGGGCTTTGTGCGCGCAGGGGCGTTACCTTTTTTCCTATATCAATAATATATCATTTTTCACTTAAATCTTGCCGTTTTTCTATTACGAGCCTAAAACCAAAATTTGACATGTTTTGACATCGTTGTTTATCTGGTTTTCATGACAATTATATTCAAATTCGCTACCGGTCTGTTGTTTCTACTTCAATAATTCCACATAAATACTCTTTCCTCTTGGCCATTTACAAAAAAATTTGCGTTTAATTTAAATAATTTTTCCGTTCTCTCTAAAAAGGTATAAAAGCCGAACAATCGGTCAAGTGAGTCAGTCTCGCTTCAGTTCTCAAATTCGAAGCATCTCCTAAAGGACTTATCCCGGGGCCACACTGCCCCGGGATCCTGCAAGCCTCTGTCCTGCCTGAAGCCGCTGGATCCTACAAGCCTCTGCTCTGCCTGAAGTCGCCGAATCCTGCACGCCTCTGCTCTGCCTGAAGCCGCCGGATCCTGCAAGCCTCAGTCCTGCCTGAAGTCGCCGGATCCTGCAAGCCTCTGTCCCGCCTGAAGTCGCCGGACCCTGCAGGCCTCTGTCCTGCCTGAAGTCGCTGAAGATCCTGCAAGCCCCTGTCTTGCCTGAAGTCGCCGGATCTTGCAAACCTCCGCATTTACCCGAGGTCGTCGCCTAGAGACGCCCACACCTTCACCTACGCTGTGCGTGCTCATTCCAGGCGCTGAGAGCACTTACTGTACACCTTGGATCTTCGGGCTCAACTTAATAAATAAAATAAATAAATAAAATAATTGTAAATCACGACATCCATCCTCATCTTCATACTCCATTTTGTTATATAAAATTGTAAATATCTTTTAAATCTTAAATATATTATTTGTTTTTGTTCTATTTTTGTTGTTTTGTTGCTCTTAGGTTAGATTCTTTTGTATTTAATTGTCGCTTGACGACATTTTGGCGCCCAACGTAAAAGTTCTCTTTCTCTTTTCTTCACCTTTACTGCGCCTTGTCCATTCCCTTTTGATTTAATTGCTTTCTCTTTCGTTCTTAACTCTTTATTTATTCATCCTTTTCATATCTTCCAAATTCTAAAACAACACTTCACTTAAAAAAAAAGATAATAAAAAAAAGGATTAGTGTTGAAGTTGAGCTCGAAGATCCAAGGTGTACAGTAAGTGCTCTCAGCGCCTGGAATGAGCACGCACAGCGTAGGTGAAGGTGTGGGCGTCTCTAGGCGACGACCTCGGGTAAATGCGGAGGTTTGCAAGATCCGGCGACTTCAGGCAAGACAGGGGCTTGCAGGATCTTCAGCGACTTCAGGCAGGACAGAGGCCTGCAGGGTCCGGCGACTTCAGGCGTGACAGAGGATTGCAGGATCCGGCGACTTCAGGCATGACAGAGGCTTGCAGGATCCGGCGGCTTCAGGCAGAGCAGAGGCGTGCAGGATTCGGCGACTTCAGGCAGAGCAGAGGCTTGTAGGATCCAGCGGCTTCAGGCAGGACAGAGGCTTGCAGGATCCCGGGGCAGTGCGGCCCCGGGATAAGTCCTTTAGAAGATGCTTCAAATTTGAGAAATGAAGCGAGACTGACTCTCTTGACCGATTGTTCGGCTTTTATACCTTTTTAGAGAGAACGGAAAAATTATTTAAATTAAACGCAAATTTTTTTGTAAATGGCCAAGAGGAAAGAGTATTTATGTGGAATTATTGAAGTAGAAACAACAGACCGGTAGCGAATTTGAATATAATTGTCATGACAACCAGATAAACAACGATGTCAAAACATGTCAAATTTTGGTTTTAGGCTCGTAATAGAAAAACGGCAAGATTTAAGTGAAAAATTATATATTATTGATATAGGAAAAAAGGTAACGCCCCTGCGCGCACAAAGCCCGAAATTGCAGAGTTACGGAAAACTAAATAAAAGATCGAAAAAGGTACTCCATTGACACCAATTTAAAAGTGCTGATAGTGTCAAAATACGAAGTGAAAATGATTTGTTATTGTGTTCTTATGGTTTAAAATCGTTACAGGATCCTATGGAAGTAAAGGTGATGTAAATTATCCAGTTTTGAGGTGAATGCAGAAAATCGAAACAGAATGGAAAAATGAATTTAAAATAATGTAAAATGATATGTAAGTAGCATAACACTACACTGTACATCCATCCATTACAGGCTATTAAAGTCCACTGCTGAATATATGCCTCCTCCATAGATTGCCTCATAGGTAGGATATTTGCCATAGTTGCCACGATTGGCAGGCAGATTGGCAACCGCAGTTTTGTATAATTTTGAGTTGTTATCAGGAAGACGCTGTTGCCCATCTTTTGGTTTGTTTTTCCCTTTTTTGGGACTATATAGCGCAGCTGAAATTTAATAAGCGCTGACAACGCAGCTGCGACACGGCGACAGCACATTTTGACACGGTGCCTGGTTTATTTCAATATTCTTCGCATTAAATTCGTACATGATTGTAAAATGTTCTATTTGCTATTATATGTACGTAAGTGTACCGTGTAGTGGCGGTGTAAGAATATCCACTAACACTTATCATCCCGTGGGTGTCGTTAGAGGCGACAGAGGGAAACAAATCAGATGGGCAGCAGCGTCTTCCTAATAACGAATGAAAATAAAAATTGCGGTTGCTAACCCGTTTGCTATGCGTGGCAACTATGGCAAATATTCCCCCTATAAGTCAATCAATAGGCGAGGTTTATGTTCAGCAGTGGACTTTAATAGGCTGTAGTACGTTATTGTAACGATTCTCATTTCGTAATCCACACTAACAGTAAGAAAAACTAGGCGTATAATAACCGGTTCTAACATTTGTAACACAAGCTTGATTAATTACCATAATACAAAATGTATTGCGATTCTTCTTACGTATCCACTACACAGGTAAATGATAATATAATTTAAAATTAAAAATTTTGTACAGCCGACTTCAATATAAGTTATTAAGAATAACTCAAAAACCATTGGCCAAACATGAGAAGTACCAGCTTTCAAATAAAAAAAGAATCATCGAAATCGCTTCACCCAGTTAAAAGTTAGGAGGTAACACACATAAAAAAACATACAGTCGAGTTGAGTACCGTCTCCTTTTTGGAAGTCGGCAGAAAAAGGAGATGGACAGCAGTATCTTTCTGCTAAGCGTGATAGCTATGGTAAATATATCTCGTATGAGCAAATCTATCGGGGAGGCGATTTTATGAAGAATAGGTCACATATTTCTTCTAATACATTTAATTTATTAGTTGTGTGTACTATGTAGTGGCGGTGTAAGAATATCCACTACCCCATATCATCATGTGGATGTCATAATGATGATAGAGGAAAATGAATTGTATGGGAAACAGCGTCTTCCTAATAACGACTAAAATACTTCACTAATACTATGGCAAACATTCTCCCTATGAGGCAATCTATGGGGGAGGCTTATATTCAGCAATGGACTTCAATAGGCTGTATTGGATGGATTTAACGGTGGTAGAGCCTTGCAGCAGCTTTTGCTGTTGCACGTATGGGCCGGCTCGAGCCGGGTTAGTACCACGACCTCACAGAATACCGGCGTTAAGTGGAAGCTCTGCTTCCGCTTTTCGTCTGGTGAGTGCAGGTGACCGGAGGCCCAATTCCCCCCCCCCCCCCCCCCATCAACATGGTAGCGGAATTACGTCATAAACTACCCCAGGAGGGTACCAGTACCCCTGGAGAATCCCTCGATGAGCATCCACGACCATGCTATTCCACTCCTGAGCGTGGGTGCTCAGGCTGCCCCGCGTATTCTGGGGGGGGGGGGGGCAAAATTCCGCTCAACACAATAACTGCTCGGGGCAAACTGAGCAACAAGACCAAGGCGACCCCTGCCACGCTATCCGTGAATTTCTGCAACATCAGGGGACTTCACTCGAACCTAAACGCCGTCCACTACCATCTTGAGACGGCGAAGCCGGCCTTCCTTTTTCTGACCGAGACGCAGGTGTCCTCTCCGGCTGATACTTCGTATCTCTCCTGCCCGGGGTACAAATTGGAGCACTCCTTTGTGCCTCGGGCTGGAGTTTGCGTGTATGTCAGAGAGGACATCTGTTCTCGACGCCTCGGCAGTCTTGAAGGTTCGGACCTGTCCATCCTTTGGCTACGCGTAGACAGCGACGACCATCCGCGCGTCTACGTGTGCCTCTATAGGTCCCATAGCGGTAATGCCGAAAC